GGGGTCAGCAGGGAGCGTTAAGGAGACTGAGACTCATGAATCTCTCTCCCCACCTGCTTTATCCTCCACTTGTTTCCTCTCCCCTCCCCACAGCCTCCCCTCCTGTCCCCCCAGAATCTCTCACCCTCCGGCTGCTCCAAACCATCATCTTCCACAACGCCAGCTCCACGGACATGGAGTTGACGGCCCTGCTGGGCGACCTGGAGACCCACTCCCTGGACTGCAGCACCTGCGAGATCCGCTTCCTGCAGCCCTGGGCCCAGCTGGGCCTGACCCCAACGGAGTGGCAGGACCAGGAGACGGTGATCCATCACGACCTGTCTAACTTCATCCATCTGGTGAACGAACTGTTTAAGGATGAAGGAGAGGGCTGTGAGTATGGCGCAGTCTGAGGGGGTCCCTTCCTGCACCCACCAGGGAGCTGAGAACTGACACGCTCACAGCAGAAACTGTGTGTGTCCTGACAGGGTGGATCGAGCAGAGGCGGATTTACAATAAAACAGAGGGTGCCCTGGCATGGCCCCCCCCTCCCCACGACAGGGGCCCCAGGGCTGGGGAGCTGCAGGGGCAGAAGCTTGGGGCTCCTGCTGCCGGCCCCGCACCCACTGGCAGCCAAGCTCCCCCCTCCCCTGCTGTATGCCCGCGCTGAGGTCGCTCCAGGAGGAACTGAGCTGCAGCACGCTGGGGGGGGCGGGGGAGGTGGAGAAGAGGCAGGGGCAGGGCTTTGGGGAAGGGGGTGGAATCGGGGCAGGGCGGAGCAAAGGCAGGTCTCCCGCATTCTCCCTACACATACCCCCCCCCCAGCCCCCTGCCATGAGCTGCTCCGGGCTGGGGGCTGGGAGCACCCCCATGACCCCACCCCCCCAGCCCCATGCCCTGACTCCTCCACCCACCACACATACCCAGCCCCCGCACACCCCATGCCCTGACTCCTGCACCTCCCCACACCCCGTCCCGAGCACCAAATGGGAGCTCCTGAACCCGCTCCCCACATTCCCACCTGAACCCCTCGCACCAAATGGGAGCTGCCCCAGGTAAGCGCTCCACGCCCCAACCTCCTGCCCCAACCCTGAGCCCCCTCCTGCATCCTAATTCCCTCCCAGATCCTGCACCCCTCTCACACACACCCAGCCCCCTGCCCTCCCTGACTCCTGCACCCCGTCTCACACACCCAGCCCTGACTCCTGCACCCTTCTCACACAGGTCAGGCTTGACAAAGCGTTGGCTGGGATGATTTAGTTGGAGACTGGTCCTGCTTTGAGGTCCCTTCCAACCCTGATATTCTATGATTCTATGACTCCTGCTCCCCCTCACACACTCCCAGCCCTGACTCCTGCACCCCTCTCACACACACCCAGCCCCCGCCCTCCCTGACTCCTGCTCCCTCCCCCCCAGCCCCATGCCCTGACTCCTGCACCCCCCATGCCTTCACCCCTCATCCCAAATGGGAGCCAGATTGTAGCCTGTGCGCCCTAGAGGGGAAAGGCCCCATGTCCCAGCCCCTGACCCTAGGCTCAAGGTCTTTCATGACCATGTGCCCTACCCAAGGCCTTTGTCAAAGGAGGGGGAAGGCTGCTCATGGTCGTGCCACCTGACCTGTCTTACCTGAATGTTGAAATGGGAGCCTTCCACAAAGCATGAAACACCCAACACAAGAATTGGAAGCAGGAAATGCAGAGCTAAGATAATGCCTCCCCCACCCTCCCAGCCAGCGCTGCCCCAGGGCATGGGAGAGAACCCAGCACGGCTCTGCTCAGCGGCTCAGCCCAGGGTCTGCGCTGGGTGTCTGATGTTGGAGCACTAAAAGCAGGTCCTGGGCGAGACTTTCTCTCAGGAACCCCTTAACCACCTGCCCCCAGATTTGCACCACAAAGTCTCCCCTGCACCTTGCTGGGGGAGAGCTAGTCTCACGGCAATCTGCCTGGGCAGGTGTGTTTCACGACAGAGTGACAGCCGGCCGTGTGATCACAGCTCACAGCCGCAGGCTCCGCTCGGTGACAGGGCTTGGACGGATGCTCCTGGGGCTCAGAGAGGTTGCAGCCTCTCCTGCTCTCCCGTGTTACTCCGTGTGTCATGCCCTGAGTCACTGCTTAGGAAAGAATCCCTTGCAGAGGTGTGATCTGTCTGTGGGCAGAGGTGCCACCGCCCGGCGTCCCGCTCCACAGACAGAACCAAGGCCCAGTGACTTGTGTAACGTTGAGAAGCCAAACGTGTCCTTGCTACCGGTGCGGCACCCAGAGATGTACGTTTATTGAGGCTCAGGGCCACAGTTTTCTCTAGAGCATCACAAATAACTTTCTAAAAAATTAAACATTTATTTGGGACGGGGTCTGTATCTTAGGAGCCCGCGATGAAGTGACCCCAAATTCGCACCACAAACTCTGCCTCAGGCCCCACAGGTCTCGCAGCAATTTTTGAGCCAATCTGATTTTGCATGTGGATCTTAGAGCACAAATCAGCTTTAAACAGTAACTGGAACCTGTCCTGCACTTCATCCGGGGCTGCCCCACGATCCCACTGCCATCTGGTGACCGAACATCCTCATTGCACCTAACATCTCTCGATTTCCGCCCCAGTGACCTCCAGACGGTCTGTCCTCATCCCCCTGCCCTTCCTCTTCCAGACCCCTTTGTTACCCAGGTCTCCACTGGCTGCGAGCTCCTCCCCAACGGCACCTCGAGGGGATTCTATGATGGCGGGATGAACGGCGAGGACTTCGTCAGCTTTGACGCGGATGCAGGCAAATGGGTTGCTCGGCGGGGGGATAAGCTGGCGCTTCACATCCAGGATATTCTTAACTACAACTGGCCTGCGGCCAACAAACTTCAGTTTCTCCTGAAAACAACTTGTGTCAATAAGACTAAGAGCTTTGTCCACTACGGGAAAGAGTCACTGGCGAGGCAAGGTGAGGCTGGACACAACTCTCTGCTCATTGAGATGCAGCCACCTCTGGGGTGGGGTAGGGGATCTTTATAGAGGGATCTCTTGCCTGGTGTACAAAGTGGTTAAATTTGGGGTGAAGTGATTTCATGGCCGCACTGCACAGCAGATTAGGACAGGAAGTGAAGGGTGAGTCCGTCACCACTGGTAATTGCAGGGTCTGGCCAGGACAGCGGGGCCAACGCCTGACCCCGGGGAATGGAGCTGGGCTTGGC